GGAATGAACTACCCCCAGAGATCAGGGTGATCCCTGATCTCCCTTCCTTCCGCCGCGCCCTTAAGACATGGTTATTCCAGCTTGCAGGACTGGCCTAGGGAAATTTTTAGAGGGGGTTTTAATTATATTTTAATTAGATCATAGTTAAATATTTCCTTTTAATTAATTTTAATCCTGTAATTGTTATCTGTGTATTTTTAATCGATTGTTAGCCGCCCTGAGTCCGCAAGGAGAAGGGCGGGATATAAATTTAATAAAATAAATAAATAAATAAATAAATTTTACAACTGTTTTTACAATAGTCGAATCACAACTGCCAGTGGGAGTTCTGCAGCCATAACTTCGAAGACAGGTTATAAGTAGCTTTTTAAAAGTCTGTCATACGTTTGAATGATCATTAAATGACCGCTTATAAGTCAAGAACTATCTGTATAGAATTACTTTAAGAAGCAGAAATTAAGAGGCCAATAGGATAGATTTCTGATAAAGGAGACGTCACCAGTAAATTTGTGTACTGGTCTATGAGGTAAAAAGCGTAGCTAAGGAAAAGATAGGGAAGAAAAGAAAAGCAGAAGTAAGGTACAGAAAAGACAGTAGTGAAAACCAAACAGTGGGAAGAAGAAAACTTTAGGAAACAAAGAATTTTGACTAGGAATCCAAGGAGCCAAATAAAGCAAGACTGTTAAACAGGAAAATTAAAAACAGGGTGCTAAGAAAACAGCGGGTAGGGGCACAGATATAAACTCCTGATTTGAGGATATTGACTTAGCACAACATTTAAACCCATCAACTATGATTCAGCTTTATTTATAAATCGGACTAGTATGGCTTACTTGATAACCATGGTTAAATATCTTGACTCAACATGACATATGAATTTATCAGTGAATAGTGGAGCCATGTTATGAAAAATTAAGGTCCCGTAAGTTGGGTGGCGAGCTACCTTCAGACATCACCTAAAACAGGGATATCTGGATTGTTAACCCGAAATTGAACATATGGGATTGCTTTCAAAGCAACTAGACTTTGTTCCAAATAACAAAAGGACAAATGTGAGTGCTGGAATTTTCTTACAGAATTGGTGAAATTTCTCCAACTCTTCTCTTTAGCACTATGATGGGAGAAAAACTGTTTTAATATTATATAAGGTTCATGTTCATGAATATGTTTTGTTACTAGCTATGATTTATTATGTTAAAGTCCCAAGTCTTCAAAATGAGGATTTGTTGACTTCTATAGCATTTGTTGCAGGTATCTTCAGGTGCTCATATCCTAGAATTTACGGTCAGCTGGTGGATATTCCCATTCATAAAAACCAAGCATTGTTGTAGCAGTGAAAAAGTCATCTTAATTCTAAGCTACTCCTTCTTTTCTTGGAAATTTAAAGAATGAACAGTACAAATATCAAAGTTAAAAAATAATAGATTAATAAAAAAATAAAATAATAATTGGGAATATATATATATTCAATTGCCATCTTAAGGAAAAAGGGTTTTATTCATCTGAATTCTGCATTACTGGCTAATACATTTATATAGATAACAAATAAACTATTAGAATTAATTTAGTGATACAGGAAAAAATATAAATAATTCAAGATTTTGCTGTTCTTCTGAATTAAATTTTAGACTCTTCTCTTTTTCCCTCCTGTGCAGCATCTGTGAATGTGCTTGTTCAAAACTGCAAGATATACAATGATGCCAGCTGTGATATTTCTGCAGATGGGCAGCTTTTAGCAGCTTTCATTCCTAGCAGTCAGCGGGGATTTCCTGATGAGGGGATACTCGCAGTCTATTCCCTTGCGCCGCACAACTTGGGTGAAATGCTGTACACAAAGCGATTTGGTAAGAGATTATGTGTCAAAGATTTGGGGAAGCTATCAAGTCCTTTAACAGTCTCTTAGAAAGTACTTTTTTTTCTTGAAATCTAACTGATATATGTAATAATTGCAAGGAAAAAGTAATCCCAACTGTAGATTGATTTGGTAGCAACAGAATGGTGAAATAGGAATTATATACCATGTGATTCCTATGATGTATTTGTTTAACTAAATCTTAAACTTTGGCTACTGCTGTTAGTTGACTAAGATGATTATAAGCAAAGTATTTGTTTTTAGCGATTAATAGCTGTGAATAAGTTTGCTGCAGTCTATATATAAGGAAAATGAAAAGGAAGGAAGGAAGATTCCATAATGAAGATGTTTATATTATGTTTTGTTTCATGCCTAGGTCCCAATGCCATTTCTGTGAGCTTGTCGCCAATGGGCAGGTATGTCATGGTAGGATTGGCATCTCGTCGCATCTTGTTGCACCCATCTACAGAACATATGGTGGCTCAGGTTTTCAGGCTTCAGCAACCCCATGGAGGAGAAACTTCAATGAGGGTAAGTGGTATTACCTGCTTTTTTGTTTTAACTACCTGCGTTTGTTTATTTGGAAACAGAATTGATATATTAATGAAGCAAAGCTCTTTAAAAGATTGCAGAAGGTAACAGTTTTTCACTGTGCTTGCTTTTCACTGTCACTGATTTTTGGGGTTGTTATTAGAATAAATAGACAGGTAGCAGGAAATACTATGGGGACATTGTTAGTGGCAGAAATAGTATAAGAGTGAAATAGTACCACCAGATGAATGTTTAATGGAGTATGTAGTTTAATAGAAGTATTTCTCTTTATATTAGTGAGTCAATAGGGTCTATGATAAATAGGGGTAAATAAAGAGCAAACATCCAGTCCAAACAGGATTAATTGGTTTATGTTGAAAATAACATTTGGCAGTTATTCACTTAGTGTTACTGTTGATATTAGTGTTAGATGTTCGTGTTTGGAAATGAAGTACTTCTTCAGAAAACAATGTTTCTCTGGTGAACTTAAATCATGAGTTGTTATTAGCCTTCAACTCCTACATTTATTTAAAAAAAATATTACAGAATCTGTATATGAATTGTTAGCCCTTTGGTTCATATTTTTGTATAATTCATCCTTGCTGTATATTCTTTAAGATAAAGGAAATTGTAAATAGTAAGTTAAAGTTCTTGCTCAAGCAGCCAATTTATTTAATTGGAAATCACCCCAAATCTTATTAAATACTGTTGTGAATGAAGTTTCTTATTTTGTTTGTACACTAATAATTCCATACTTTTTTGGACCTTGAGAATTTTATCAAATAGCTTCTGAAAGAATAATGGTGTACTAAATCAACATGAAAATTATATTGTTAAAGTTTTTTCAAAATCAGTTATAATTTATGTGCTATTACTCCTCAATATTAAATAATTCTCAGTATTTTTTTTAAAAAGAACTTGTTTAAGAATAGTTGTTTTCTTTTGGAGTTGTGAAAGCCTAAAAGGGAATTCAAAGCACAGAGTTAGGATATACTACTTTTATCGTATTGATGGCAACATTATACTTTGCATAGTACCTCAAAGACTACTTTGAAATACGCAGGGCTGTGGCAACTTTTCAAAATTGTTGTTTTAATTATATTATTTATTATACTGTGATGTGTTTTATATTTTTACTTTGTTTTGTTTTATAAGTTCTTGGGTATCTTTGTAATAACAGCACTAAAACAAAGCCTTACAGCTTTATTTTTTGTCAGTTGAGAGTGATAAAACACTGAAACTCAACAGCCATAGCTTCGTCTACTGATAAAACAGCACTGTGTTTTGTTTTCTAAATGAGCTACAGTTGGCAGCAAATGTGGGAAAATAAAGTTGAAAAAAACCCCAAAGAGGATTAGAAAGGAAGCAAATGAAGAAACAGTTGAGCAGAAATTGTAAACGATACAGAAGGAGGAAGGGCATTATGGAGAGTTAGGAGAAAATTTGAATAAATTGAGTTTGAATGGGAGGCAGCTTTGATGAGAAACAGTGAGGATTGTGGGATTTCATCCAGGCTTCCTCTCTATTCTAATGGAATTATCTTTATATAGAAACATACTTTTATCCCTTCAGTAAAAGTACCCCACTAAATTTTCATTCAAAAACAGGGGAAAGTGCTCGGGGTTTTTTTTCCTTTGTGGATTTAATCACCTACAACAGTGATGGCGAACCTTTTAGAGACCAAGTGCCCCAAAACCGCCCCGCCCCCTGCTCTGCCCCCACCCCGCCCGCTCACAGGGCCCCCACCACCTCCACAGCTCACCGCAGCAGATCGCCCAGGTGGCCCAGCAGCGCCATGGCAGCCACACCCTCTGCCTACGCCCCACAGCAACATCTGCATGCAACAGGGCATGAGGGCGGAGTCTTGTCCCCGCTGCCCGGCTGCCATGTCCATGGCTGTGCTGCTCTGCGCAAGCCGCACCGGGGGCAACTCTCCTCAGGGGCGGCTGCTGGTGAGGAGGGGGCCATGGGGGAGGCGGGGCTGGGGTGACGGCACGCATCCCCACAGAGAGGGCTCTGAGTGCCGCCTCTGGCACGCATGCCATAGGTTTGCCACCACTGACCTACAATAATATTGATTTCAAATATTGTAATCTATAGCTCAAGCAATTGTTATCCAGGTTGTCCATTCAAAATATAATAATGCTACTTCAAACTTGTTTGCGCTGATTTTTCATTGATTGGCCTTTTCCTAGCAGTACCAACAGATAAGATATCATAGCATTATGGGAATGCAAAACTGAAAAAGAAAATGGCGTAGAATAAAAAATAAATTAAAATTACTATTTGGTTTGAAATAAAGGCAGGCCTCTCAATGAAGGATTTTAATGTTTGGATTTTGGGGCTTCACTTTGAGGTGGTGATAGGAATGAAACATTTCTGGAAAGAAAAATACTTTTCTTCTGAGAAAGCCTGTTAATTGAATAAAAATAATGTCAAAATGATACATATTAACCTGATTTTAGTATCTGTTGACATTATTCAAAGCAGAGGTGATTGAAAACAAGGGTAGTGTTTCTTGCTCTGATCATAACCCAATAATACTCAACATTCTGGGCTCAGCATGTTAAAATTTTGGGAAATTCCTAACTTGACTCTGATGGCAGATCACTCCTCCCTGATTATTAATCAATTTCTAAGACAAGTTGAATTGAAACCAATACAGGTAATTCTTGCATAATGACCAATCAGTGGCCATTCAAAATTGTGATGGCAATGAATTAAGGGAGTTACAACTCCTGACTGAAATTAGGAGTGTTACAGCACCCCTGCTGTCATCTGATCTAAACTCGATTACTTGGCAGCGTGCCTTCTCTTACTTCAATCTCCTGCCCCAATCTATCTACCTCCATCTAGGCCAGGGATGGGGAACCTTGGCTCTTTTATGACTTGTGGACTTCAACTGCCAGAATTCCCGAGCCAGCATGGATGGCTCAGGAATTCTGGGAGTTGAAGTCCACAAGTCATAAAAAAGCAAGGTTCCCCACCCCTGACCTAGGCTAACAGTGGTAGCTCCAAGGCTGCGCCTCAACTTCAGCCCTAGCACCATTTCTGCCACTTAAAAAGGCTGACTTGCACAATTCCCCAATTGCCCCAAAAACTCTTGTGCACTATTTGCCTTCAGACGGTGTTCTCTTTCTGTTGACAGCCTGGACCATTTTTTTCCATTGACTTTCTTCCTGCAGGCTTCCCCAATGCAAAGACTTTGCTAGTGGAAAGGTGCCTAGGAGACTTGGCAATGATATTGTTTTTTTCCAGGTTCCCCATTGTCTTATGGAAAGCTGTTAGGGAATGTCGAAAATGAGGAATCACATAAGTATGGCACTGGTGCTAAACAGCAGTAACCCAGCAGTGCTGAAGTAGCAATAAAATCTCCAAATTTCATTTCCTGGGGAGTACTGGGTCCTGACAGCATGCCCTAAGATGGTTACAAATTATCTGGCACAAGGTTTTAGTGATATATAAATGAAGGGGAGAAAAAGGAATCTGACTAGTGGCTGGACACTTTGGAAAACATTCTAGAATTATAACTACAAGACCAATAAAATGAGAAACCATGCCCTTTCTACTTACCATAATCTCCTGAACTTTTCATTTACTTTGACAGCAATTGTTCCCACCATAAATTTAGTACTGCTGAGAACATACCAGTATCTTCTGTTCTGGTAAACTCTCCTAGATTTCATTCTTTGTTCTATTATTAGACTGTAAACTGTTGGGAATGAAAAGAAATTAGTACCTTAGAGCTATTTGCTTCATGATTTAACATTTGGAGCACCCAGGCAAGGAACTCCTGTTGGCAATTATTCTTTAATTCTAGATGTGCTATTCCAGCATCCAATTAATTATATTTCATTAGAAATGAAATCTAGATATAATTTGGTAGATATGATTATTCCTTGTTTGATGTATTTTGTAATAAAATGATAAGTATTTCATAATTTTAGGGATGGGCAGGAATGTTTTATAATTATAGTTTTAAAACTTTAGAAATCAAAATTGTTCTAGAAAATCTGTCCCGAATAAAGGTTGATAGATACGTGCCCCAGGATAATGTTGCAGTATCCAATCTGGTTCGGTCCCCAGAACCCCAGAGGTTTTGTCTTCTGAGCTTTTGGACTTGTGCTGGAGCCCATCTTCAGGGAACTTCTCTCTAGCAGAGTTTGTGCTTTGGGCTGCTCTATGTGTGGCAGCTACTAAGATTGTTGGACAAATAGGCACAAAAGCAACCAGAGAAGTGATTGAAGCCTGGGAAACGGGGCCCCTCGTCAATCAATAGGAGTGCTGATTAACCACCAGCTTATCAAGTACTTAGGAGGTGAGGGCTTGGCAGCACACGCAAACAACAGCCAACACTTAATAGCCAGTCATTAACACTCCAATCAAATCTAAAAAGTCACATAGAACAAGCACCATATAAATACCACATACAGAAAGTCTAGACCAGTGGTGGCGAACCTATGGCACGGGTGCCAGAGGTGGCACTCAGAGCCCTCTCGGTGGGCACGCGCGCCGTCGCCCCAGTCCCAAGCCTTCAGCTGGGTTTTATAAAACCTTTTCACTTTAGGCCTCCGCCGCTGTGTGCAAAAGAAAAAAAAGGTTCAATCAATCAGTCAATGTCAACTTCTTGCGGGGAAAAAAAAGATCTTGCAAAGTTGGAATTGATTGATTGAACTTTTTAGTCCCACCCAGTCTGCCGTTACCACCACAGCCACGCTCACCCAATGGGCCACACCCACCCAATGGGCCACACCCACCCGGCACCCGACAATGCATGTGGGTTTTGGGTTGCAGTTTGGGCACTTGGTCTCTAAAAGGTTCGCCATCACTGGTCTAGACTCTAAAGAACACACTCTGTTAGAGAGCGAGGCTCCCTGAAGATGGGCTCCAGCACAAGCCCAAAAGCTCGGAAGACAAAATCTCTGGTCCGGGTGACTGACCCAGATTGGATCCTAGAAAAACACATAGTATAAAATAGTTGTAGATGATTTGCGGAAAGA